GATTATCATTCTCTCCTTTTGCTGAAGTTCTCTTATGGCTTCGATGTGTGCCTTTGTTAGTAACCGGGAATTTGTCATGAGTTGTCGTTGATACTGAAAGGAAATGTTGACCAAGTCCGACATATTGTGTATAATTGAGCAGACGAACAACTTGCAAAATGTCATCGAGTGTTTTAACATGGCACATCCCAACGCCACATTCAGAGTCGAAGAAGAAATTGACAACCAAATGCACTATTTGGATGCAAAGTTAAAGCGACGAGAAGACGGATCAATTCAGATAGGTGTTTATAGAAAACCGTATTGGACAGGCCAGTACACACACTTCCGAAGTTTTGTGCCAATTAGCCGCAAAAGAACACTGGTACATACTCTGGCCAATCGTGCACGGAAGATCTGTAGTGAGGACACAATTGAGGAGGAAATGAAGCGAATCAGACAAACACTTCTCGAAAACGGTTATCCAGAACAATTCATTGACATTCAAATAAAGCCTAGTAGCCCAAGACCAACAGTACAAACGGTGGAGAAGAAACAGCTATTTCTCCAACTTCCCTTTAAAGGTGACCAACCGTCTGAGATATGCACATGACGACTGATACAGACTTGCCGAAAGATCTTTAATGCAGCTCAACTAAGTGTCGTTTTTACAAGCAGTTCGCTCTTTGTTCCTAGATTCAATGACGGGATGCCTGATCAACGCCAATCAATGGTAGTCTACCGGTTCACCTGCTCCTTTGGGGCTAGGTACATTGGGCGCACGACCAGGCACTTGGAAAGCAAACCAAGGAACATTTACCAACGTCGCTCGTCACCCAACGGGATAAAACTAAGTTGAGCGCCACAGCCAACCATCTGATCTGCACCAGTCATCTGATTGATAAGCGCAAGTCATCTGAGATCCTCTATCGAGTGCCATCACAGCTACACTATCGGTCAGGGACTCGGCTACTTGCTACCGTTGAATCAGTATGCATCAGGTTGAGAAAACCAAATTTATGCATTCAGAAGCAGCATGTACAAGCATTACAACTATCCTGGCCAGCCAGTAATGAAGTTGGATTGGACGCCACTCAGTGGTTACCCACTCAGTAGTTACTCTCTGTTCTCCGAATGAACTCCTCTTCTCAACATATATTTCTGTACCAAGCCTGATGATGAATAAATCTAAAACAATTGTTCGCTTTAAGCGTACCGCTTGCGTTTCTTCTTCCAATATATAGTAAAAATAAGCATGCTACACGATATTAAGTATTATGTAGTTACTGCGCCTAAGAATATCGCTGTAACACTTGCTGGAACCGAACTTTTTGAAACCTTCACCCATTCCATCACTGAGCAGTGTTGCGCTTTTTAGAGCGTTGTGTGGGGGAGTAGTGGAGACATCTTACGGAACCTGCAGATTTCTTTCTTTGAACGTCGGTTTGCATATATGCCTACTTTACACTTTCAAATGTTATCAGCAACGCCAGATCTAACCCCTTCGATTGCGACGATTGAAGTATGACTTGCTCATGCATTGCAAAGGCCAGAGCTGTCTTCTTGAACCTGCGGAATCTTTGGCGAGAGAAGGGAGTTTTCCTCCGTCGGAAAGGGTGTGTATAAAACGCCACAGTGAGGGCCGTTCTGCTGTATAGTAATGAGACTTGGCCCCCTCGGTCTGAACATCCGAGGCGCCTTCAAGTCTTTGATCATCGTTGCTTGCGAAGCATTGCTGGTGTCGGATGGCACCAGCGGGTCCGCAACGATGATGTGCGTAGGCGAGTACGAGCGAATGATAATCGTGCTAGCTCCCTAGAACAACAGATAGCACTGAATAAATTGCGTTGGCTCGGGCACGTGCTACGTATGCCTGATCACCGCTTATCTAGGAGGACGTTGTTCAGTCTACCAGGTGTAGGGTGGCGCAAGGCTCGTGGTGGACAGAAGTTGACTTGGCAGCGGGAAATGAAGTCAGTGACGATCAAACTGGGTGCCGTTGGTCTGTCTAGCCTTCCGGGCTGGAGTCCACCTGACTCAACTTGTGCTTGGCTCGAGACTTTAGAGGACATGGCACGCAACCGACACCAGTGACGCGTCTGCTGCCGTCTCCTAATTGGATTGCCTGTTTAAAGTGTGTTTGGTGCTGAGTTATCTTCCGAGTAATGGCTGATTATGATGCGTGGCAGTGAAAGCCGCAAAGAAGCTGTCTCGCCAATGCCGCCTTATTTTTGCACGATAGCCAGCTGTTTGTGATGGTGTGTTGTCTACACAAGGTGTAGGCGTCTTAACCCTGAATGTTTTGCTTAGGGCATTAAGGTTTTCAGGTAAGTCCTCCGTTCTCTGCCTCATCTTATTCTTTGTTTCATAGGTCCTCATGGTTGTATGGCAGCGAAGCATCAGTTCAAATGAATGATGTACTGCTGTTAATGATGATGATGAGTTATACTGTGAGCTTCGTATCCGCGTATCGAAGACATCGGCGGCATTCGGAAAGCTAGGGTACCGAGTATGAAACAGCCATCAGCTTACCGTTGGCACTAAGCTGCTGGTGTACAAATTCATGGTGCTGTCTGTTCTTCTATACGGCTGTAAAAGATGAACAATGTACTGGCGAGATGTGCGATATCTCTAGCTGTCCCATCAACAGTGTTTGCCACGAACTCTGCGCATCGGTTGGTGCGACAGGCTTGCAGACACGCAACTGTTACGCCGAAGTGGAATGTATGCAGTGAACTGCATACTTTTGCTGAGACACCTGAGGTGGCTCGGTCATGTGAGCCGTATGGATTCGACGCGGATACCGAAACAACTATTATATGGTCAGCTGGGCATTGGGAAACGGCATGTGGGGAAACCGCAGCTTCGTTACTAGGACATAATCAGAGTGAACCTGTCACGTTCTAAGCTTAATTGAAGGTCATTGGAATCGAAGGCGTTTGATCGGCGTGAATGGCGCGACCTGATCACGAAGACAGTTGGTGAGGTGCACTTGAAAGCCCTCGTGTATGCGGAGAAGAAGCGGAAGCGGCAGGCGCCGATGGGTTGTACTCCATCGACATCGAGCGCATGGTGCTGTAGCACATGCGGTCGCGAGTGCCTTAGTCAGACAGGCCTAGGGAGCCATGAGCGAGGCTACTCGGGGCCAACACATTAACGACGACGAGTCCTTCGGAGAAGGTAAGCAGAACCGGCGCAGCGTTTGTAGCTACTCTGCATCCGATTTACTAACGCGTGCTTGCAGGCTAAGTCTCGCTATTTCAGGTGATGGGTTTGCTATCTTGTCCTAATGCTTATTTTATCCCATATTAATGTCTACCTGAACTACCTTTTATTAACTTGCACACTTCGCTTAAGCCAATTGTGTAGTTTGTGGCATTTTCTTAAAATATATTTTCTGATGTCTTGAACCTATCACAGATTTGTTGGCAACCAATTTATTTCATGTACCCATTTATTGAAGAGTTATGTCATCGTATCTGTATGCACTATTCGATTTGTTTTATTTGATAATGTCATTTCAAGTGATTGGCTGTTGCTTGATATCCCCCGTGTGGCTGCGCTTGATGTGCATGTTGACAAGGTGCATACCTGTCTATTACCCACTACCTTGTCCATACTGACTCCAGGAGACAGTTGGTCATTGCTGGAGGGGACGGGGTGCATGGTCATTGTGACCGTGCTAGGCTCGAAGAGTGGTTCCATGCACTCGGACTACGGACCAGCGGACTACGGTCCAGCCACCACCTTGTGTGCGCTTGATTCCCAAATACAGTGTGCTTGTGTTTGCCTGTGAAGGAGTGTGGGCCGGCTCCGCTGATGAAACGTGGCTCCCATCCACATGCCTCTCGGTCTTATTCCTTCGGGCTTATACTGGATATGGGGTGTGTGATTGGAGCTGTGTGTGGTGCAGCGCAAGCCACCCATGGTCACTCTGTAGGCGCAGGCATCCAGTGGCTGACCATAGTGACACGCAAATACGAAACCAGATAGCGTTGACAATATATGTGTGTGGATGGATGGATAGATGGATGGAAGAAATAACGCTCTTCCGTGGCAAACCCTAAGTATTTTATGGAAACAATCGACTATCCCTTTTCGCTTCTAATTATCCGACGCATGCTTCTTTTAACTAGCACAAAAGCCTACCTTGTGTAAATAAAAACAGACGAATCAGTGGGCTGAAGGAATGAGTTTTAATCAGATCTTCCACATTTAGTGTTTCACGCCAATATCCAACTTTTGTTTAGCTGTTCCCCTTACTTTTAGCCCATAAAACCATTCCGCCCTACGAACATATTCGTGACCCCGTTGGCTTCTCAACTGTTGCTCGCCGACAGAAATTTTCATAATGGATTTCTGACAGCGCTCAGGCTCCTTATTCTTCCAAATCGATTTGTCCATCTAAATGCATGGGCTTGAGGATGTAAGCATCATTATGCCTTCTTGAATGTTTTAGAAAATCCTCAGTAAATACCGACAAGTTTCATTTTTCTCCATTCTGGTTTCTTATTAGCACCTATAATCTCTTTGAGAAATGAACAAGTGAGTACTCCTCGCTGTTGGCATATTTTTGCTCCAGTTCATCCGGGCTCACCCGTCCAGCCACTGTGGCCTTTCACTAAACAGTCCTTCGACTGGGGACGCGAGAGCACTGCTCACAGAATGACACCGCACTACCAGCGTTTGCCACCAATGCACTCATTCGCCAGGTCTACAGTCACTAGGTATTTCACCATGGATGTCCCTTCAAATAAGCATGTCCAATATATACAACCCGTGCATAACACTCAGATCTACGAAGTGGGCATCTTACTTCGCTGTGAAACGAGTACAGTGTATGAAGCGTGTGGACAGGAAAATAACAGCAGAAACATGTTTTGACCATGCAACATCTCCATGGAATGATCTGCGCCAATGATGAGCACCTTCGCACACATCCAATCGAATACTCCTGCTGTTATTGTCATCATGGCAAATAAGGCTCAAATAAGGCTGTCTGAGGAACCGTCTTCTCTTACCTGGCATGCATCTTCCATGGAGGCCAAATGGCTAGTGTATCCCTTGGGGCAGCGTTTGGGCCAGATGGGAGCCAACAAATGTTGGTACTCTGACATGCGCTGTGCACGAGAATCGTTTCTAGGTAGAATTGGTCTTCCTTGGTGAGTAACGAAATGGTTTAACTGGGTTAGCAACTTTTGGAACGCCTTTCTTCCTTCTGGCGACGTTTCGTTTCTGTCCAACACGGTGACAAGCGGATTGCCATCACGACAGCTGTAGAAGCCACCAAAAGGGATTCCATACTTTCCAGCCAATTCTCTGTCTGCAGACAAGCAGATGCGCATCTTGCGTCCCACAGCAATTGGCCAACTATATTCAGGACACGAGAAGCGGTGGGTGATAGAATTGGGTTCTTTGTCGGTGTACAAACCTGCGAACATGAACCCAAAATCCTCATCGACCTCAGGTGCATCGGGTAGACTTGGATTCTGTGAACACCAAAACGATTCGGTAACTGCACACTCCTGATGACATTGTAAAGGGGTACCCCAGATAGAGCGGTGGCATTGGTTGTAACAGCTGCGCACTTGTGCCGCGACCAGTCGTACTTCAAAGTATCCTGGGGAACAGGTAAAGTTCCCTGTAGCCGGATTGACTACGGTTAGTGTATTGCACAATTCACTTGGACCATGGCATTTCTGGAACACTCCTCCCAGTGGTAGTCTTGTTGTCTCACTGAATTGCGCTTCGCCTTCACTGCACTCGGATGTCGCAATGTTGGCATCTTTGTCGTAGAACACGGAAGTTGGGTCCATGCACCCTAAATGAGTGAAAATACATTGAACACTAGTGTAAGGCGATGTGATCGGAGTTCCAGTAAGGTAACCGATCCGCTGTGGTTGTACAGTACTTACTTGATATCTATCAATGAACTCCTAACAATAAAAGCCCTATCTTGCATGTACACTAACGCCAAAGACCTTCTAAGCAAGTTGGCAGAACTTAGAGAACTCCATGCCTCACAATCGCGGGACCTCGTCATGATTACAGAGACATGATTAAACCCTAAGATAACCGACTCTGAGATCAATTTACCCGGTATGTCGCTGCTTCGAACCGATAGAACCGGAAGGGGTGGCGGTGTGATTCTTTACTATAACACAAACCTCCGATGTGCAGTTATCGATCACCCAGAAATCCGAGCTCCCGATTCGCTTTGGTGCCGCCTAGGGTTGCGAAACAAGGACACATGCCTACTAGCCGTGATTTATCGCCCACCAAACTCAACGTCGGAAATGGACTCCAAACTGAACCACGTTTTTCAGTTTGCTTTGAACAAGTCCTACACCCACATTCTTATCACGGGAGACTTTAATGTGCACGACATAGAAACGCCGGTAACCGACGGTACGTAGTTTAAAGCCTGCTTGCAAGAGCTGATTGCTGGCCACCCTCTTTACAACCACGTAACCTCTCCCACCAGATTTCGCACTGCTAACAAGCCGTCGATATTGGATTTTGTGCTTACTAATGAAGAACTCATGGTTGATGGGAGAGTTACAAGCACACCACTGGGTCGTAATGATCATGTTACTCTACTCTTTGACTATATATGCTATGCGGAGTACACTGAAAAGGAGGAGGATAAAGTACATACTGTCACACACTACAATGTGTTGTCTAAGCTTGTTAAGGACTTGCAATAATCGCAAACTCCTGTACAGGCACGTTAACGGCATTCGAAAGGTAAAGCGATGGGTTCCAGCGCTAGTCACGGCTGATGGGTGCACGCGAACAGCAATGGAAGCAGCTGATCTCCTACGGCTTCATTACTCCCAAACTTTCCAGCAGGTAACGAGCCTAAACATTCTCCTCATTTCTAATACTCCACCATCTGGTTTAGAAAACATCACCTTCACTGCGGAAGCGGTGTTGAAGATGTCGTTATGTTTGCGTATCCACAGTTCTCCCGGAGCTGACAATATCCGACCAAAGGCTCTACAGGCAGTAGCTAGTGATCTAGCAGAAACACTGGCTGTTTTCTATCAGCGATGTTTAGAAGAGAATCGTATTCCACAAGTATGGAAGCGAGGGATCATCACTCCTATCCATAAAGGAGGTAGCCGCACTGATCCTGCCAACTACCGTCCAATAACACTACTTCCCGTACTATCCAAACTGATGGAATCAATCATCGCAGATGCGCTGATGCAATACCTGGAAATCCACAATTTAATAGTCCCAGGGCAACATGGTTTTCGTCAAAAGCATTCGTGTAATACTAACCTATTAATTGCACATAATAGCTGGACTGAAGCTGTTGATGATGAAATAGGAGTTGATGTCATCCACCTGGACTTATCAAAAGTGTTTGATCTTTAAAATCATCGCATTCTCCTTCAGAAGCTTCGGAATTACGGCATTGGCGACCCAATCCTGAGTTGGATTGGTAGTTTTCTACAAGAACGACAGCTAGTGGTGAGAGTCCGAGCACACAGACTGTGAGGTCATTTGATGCTCCGCCTGTTGGGGGGGGTGGGGGGGGGGGGGGGGGGGGGGGGGGGGGGGGTTTTTTTTTTTTTTGTGTGTGTGGTGGGTGTGTTTTTTCTGTGTTGGGTTTGGGGGGGGGGGGGGGGGGGGGGGGGGGGGGGGGGGGGGGGGGGGGGGGGGGGGGGGGTTTTTTTTTGGGGTGTGTGTGTGGGGAATGGTTAGATATCGCTGACGCTCTGTGCGTGTACTAGTATGGTGACGTCGTCGTGATATCCAGTGAATAAGAAGCAGAACACTGCCGTCATTTGGAAGCAATGTTGCAAAGGCTCCAACATTCGGGATTACGGATAAATGACCCTAAATCTCAAGTCGGAAAAAGTTCGGCAACACTGCTTGGTCACAAGGTGGGTCAGGATGAACTGAAACCGCTTCCGAAGCAAATATTGACAATTCGTGACACCCCAGTTCCGAACTCAAAGCGCAGTCGCAAGGCATTTTTGGACCGCGCCGGATATTATGGTGAATTCGTCAGGAATTTGGCGTCACCTTTGTACGACCTGTTAGGAGAGGGGAAGAAATTCACGTGGACATCAGAAGCTCAGATAGTGTTTAACCAAATTCAGAAAGAAATGAGAAGACAGGATCTTACGTTGAAATTGCCGATCGCCGGCGATACGTTCACGGTGACCCCAGACGCAAATGAAGTCGGAATCGGTGCACGGGACCAATGAATACGCTAGCAGCATTTTAACGCCATGGGAACGCAAGTATTCAACAGTAGAGAAGGAGCGTTTGGTAATTCTTTGGAGGCTTGACAAGTGGCGGGCCTACTTACGGTGTCAACGCTTTCAATTTGAAACAGATCACAAACCATTTGATTGGACCAAGTCCTCCAAAGACCCCAGAGGCAAGTCAGCTAGATGGGTGCTGCGTTTACAAGTATACGACTTCACGATAAGCTACATATCAGGGGGGGACAAGGGAACGGCAGATTTTTTTATCGCGCCTGACGAGTGACGACGACTTGCCGAATGTTGCCTTCAGTGTCAGTGGTTTTTGCTGGAGCAGGATCCGGGCAGGTTAGTAGTTGAGAAACAAAAGGATAGACTCCTGAACAGGCTGATAACGGCACAAATAATGAACCAAGCTGTGACAACCAAAATGCAAGGCAAACAATTCCGGCCGTTCGCGCAGGACTTGGACAGTCTATAAGTCAACGAAGCCGGAATTCTGACGTGGACACAAGGGCTAGACGCTACCCCGGTACCGGTGATCCCACCGAAGTTGAGGAAAAAGGTGGGGGTCTCCTGTCAAGAGATGGCACATACCGGATGCACCAGAACATATGATTTGCTTAGGCAGCGAGCTTACTGGCCGGGTATGAAAAAACACGTCGATAAATACGTCCTGTCGTGTCAGTAGTGCTAGTTATTGAAGGGAGACAATCGAGGAATTCCCCAATCTATGCTTGCTATTCCAGGGTCCGACGTTGGTGAGTTGTGGTCAACCGCTGTGCTGGGGCGGTTCCCGTTAACCAGGCGCGGCGATCAAGACATAATCGTGATGACAAAGCACTTCACCCGCTAGACTGAAGCCACAGCAATTCCGGATCAGCGGACTAGCACTATAACTCATGCAGTGCTGAGGCACATGATGGCGGATCACAGATTTCCGAAAGTTATACTGACGGACCAGGGCTCATGCTTTGAAAGCGACCAGTTCCGGACATGTCTGGTGAAACTGGACAGAAAGAAGATACGAACCACTCCCTACCATCACCAAACAAATGCATAGACGGCGATGAATAAGATGATAATTAAAAATGACTGGCGGCGAAAGAAGGAGATTGAGAAGTAGCTCTACCACTACTCTTGCTAGCTCACCTGGCGTGCAAGCAAGCAAGCACGAGGCGATCCCCATTTTAGTTAATGCACGGCCGCCCGTCCCCAATTTATGTGGATCTAAAGGTGGGAATGTGGCTGACCTGCCTGTTACCGCCGAAGGAAGCATGGAACACCAGGAAGGTAGAGAACCGAAACCTGAAGGCAGCCCAGGCGTGAATGGTGGAGAAATCCAGCGTCAACATGAGAAAACCTTTCGGAGATTTTCCAATCGGTTTGAAGGTAAAGTACAGAGATCACCAATGCGCGACCGCTTGTGGTCCAGTCAAGAGGATACTCCTCCCGAAATGGAAGGGCCCATATGATGTAATCGATCGACGGGGCCCCGTATACCCCATCGCTCGACATGGATAGGCGACTAATGCATACTAGCGAATTGAGGAAGCGGTACGAGCGATGAAAGGAAAGTGCTGCATAAATATGGTGGCCCCGCTCAAAGACTGTATGCGAGGTCTACGGCCGCGGATACGTTAGAGGAGGAGGGGTGTAGTGCACTAATACTGAGTAGTATGGTGAAATGAGCAGGCGATAAACTTAGCCAAGAAGGGATCACCGATGACGACGGGTGCGTAGTGCACGATTCAACTAGCCCTGAAAATGGATGGCACTGTAACGTTGCGCCTATACTGCATCGTCACGACAGGCTGAGTCAATAGGACAAGGCGCAGCGTGGAATCAAATAGCACCATGAACGATATACGTAACTGACTCCGACTGTTCTAAGTTAGAAATGTTATACCATGGATACATTCATTCTCGTATACATAACTTGTTCACACCGCCCTGCGTTCTCCACAACCGCATTACTTGGATTATCCCCTTACACCACGCTCACCAGCATCGCGTTCGTTTTTACACTAAATATCAAAATTTATGCTACTCAGTGTTAATTTGAACCGTTAGACTGCCGCAAATGATCACAGGTTGAATTTCATTATCTTCGTCTGCCTGCAGATCCTGGTCTTGCAATTCGCCCTTACTGTTTATCGCTCGTACCTTGCAAAACCAAGTCATAACTGTTATCGAGCTTCACAGTTAACATCGTGCACACACCCGCGTTCAAGCGGACGAAGCGTCCAGTCAAAGTTTTATGGAAAGTAACTTTTGTGTTTAATGCAGCATACAAAAATCGTAATTTTGTCCATTACAGTCTGGGTGCATCAGTATCCTTCAAGAGACTGTTTCACTGCCTATCGCTTGTTGATGAAGCAGCTATCACCCAGAACAACAATGACTGACCGAATGTAGTGTGCATCACTTCTGATACCAATCGAAATCTAACTCATATGTTAGTAATACCGATGGGCATATTTGGTTGTAGACGAACAAGGGTTCATACTTAATGGCATTCCTTTACCCCGTAACTATCATCAAAACTACCGGCCCCTGGTACAGTTGGAAAACCGCTTCGACCTAAGCCACCTCGGTGAGTAGAGACCACGAGATTACAACCTTTCAATTGAAGAACCTCATTGTTGGAATACAAATGCTTTGCGCCAAAATGGTTGCACCATTAAGACAAACAGCACGGCACAATTGTGCCCCGCTTGTTGATCCACCGGCAAGTTGGTGTGCATATTTCGTTGTCAACAGTACTATACACAAAGTGGTCTCAAGATGCTGTAACTTGTTAAACTATTGGTAGAGTACAAACTATAGAGGGGTAGGTGTGTAGAGCAGTTGCAGTCTGTGTGAGATACTCCTGGTCCACATTCACTTTACATGATACGGATCTACGGATGTTTTACACTACAACATGCAAAAAAATTAGTAACTTCTTTGCAGCAAAGTATACAAGCTGAGGCTGATGCTGCATTCATGATGCTTCCCCACCGCAGTTGGGTTAAACCAACCTACACCTAAACTAGGTCTTTTTAAGCTGGATAAATTTCAGTCCACTTTAATTAGTTTGTTCTACCTATCTGAATAATCTTCTATTAACTGACCACGTTGCTTACATTAATTGCCGTTACCCTCGATAACTTTGTTGCGTTTGTAGCATTTTTAAGTAAAGTGTGGACAATTTATACTTCTCGCAGATTCGTGCTAACCAACTTACTTCATTTACTAATTTAACGAAGAGCTATGTCGACATAGCCGTATGCTTTAACAGATATATTTTATTCGAGGATGTTGCAAGTGATTGACTGATGCTTGATATCCCCGGTGTGGCTGAGCTTGATGTGCATGTTAACAAGGTGCCTACCTGTCTATTATCCACTTCCTCGTCCATACTGGCTCCAGGAGACAGTTGCTCGTTGCTGGAGGGGACCGGACGCACGGTCCTCGTAGAAGTACTACGCTCGAAGAGTGATTCCATGCACTCAGTGTGGAGCGGACTACGGTCCAGCCACCGACCTGTGTGCGCTTGATTCCCCAAATACAGCGTGCTTGTGTTTGCCTGTGAAGGAGTGTGTGCCGGATCCGTTGATGAAACGTGGTTCCCATCCACATGCCTCCGGTGTTATTCCTTCATGTTTACACTGAATATGGGGCGGGTGGTTGGAGCTGTGGGTGGTGCAGTGCAAACCACCCGTGGTCCCTCTGTAGGCACAGGCACATCTGAAACCGGATGTCGCCAACCATGAGCACGAGTGCCGTCCGCTCGCAGCAACACTGGCATAAACAGATTTGCTCTGCTGCGCCCCTTTACGTAAGTAAACGGCTTCTTGGAATTTGCTTCGACGGGATAATCTAAACCGTTCTCGGATTGGACACTAACAGTCCACGGATGTTGCGCACATTTATTTCTAACTCGATTAGTTTCTTTGGTGTTGTCTAATGGAGATGCTTTGTAGGTTTACCGGCATCTAGACGGCATCTTGAGTATGTATTTTCCGGTGGGATCTATCCATGGAGGTTGTGCCCTTAGCTTTCTTCTACTCTTAAGGGAAATGTAGGGAACGGACCTCAGTAAGGTATGCGCTAAAGTTATCCCATGCCAGCTGGACAGAGTCGGTCATTGAGATCTCACTGTTCAGAACTGACGCCTGAGCTCGCATTGCAATAAAGTCCACCCGCTAAATATTCGGATGGAATTCAACGGTAGTCTGATGGTGTCCTGAAAGAGCAAACCGAAGGAGATGCACACCTGATCACAAGCACCTAGGGGTGTGCCGCACGAAACATCACCTACGAAGTTGTGGGACTTAGTGAATGCGGGATCTAAACCAGACAGTGATTGGGTCTCCATATACACTGTACGGGGATCAACGAACTGGTGTAAAGACACTTGAGGGGTCAGCTACAGAAAGTCTACACCGGACAATCCCATCGCAGAATTGTACAGAAGGTTACTGACAGACATCAGGGACCTTCAGATCCCATAAAACTATTCACTTATTCGTAGACTGCGTGCGATTAAAGTCAGTAATCACCCTAGAGATACTTCCAGGATTTTCGTTTGCCACTACAAATGTATATTGGACAGAGGAAGTGCACCCAAAGGCCGATATGGCTTCCACATTCCGATCCAACAACTGCAATGGGCAGGTCCTCAACACATTTAATCTGCAACTCGCATAAAGTACAACGTCTCGGTCTTGACGACTAGCGGAGCGATCAGTTTTAAAGAGCGCGCAACCAGGTAAACGTACTTCACCGTCCGTGATATCCGAGTACAATCACGACTCAGTGAAAGCAAGTATGTTGGGACGATCACATCCTCATTGCTGGAGACCTTACTGTTTACAGCGTGGAAGACCCGGCAACTACCAGTAAACAGGTTGCAGCTTGTCTGCAAGAATTAGCCTCGCTTCCATCTGCACAAACACGTCACTTCTCCACCAGTTTCAAAACGGCAAAAAATCAATCGGTACTTCGTATGCTGCTCGCTAGCGAGGATCCAAACATCGACGAGTTGGTTGCGGGCAATTCTTCATGTCCCATAGACTACGTAAATCTATCGTTTATCACATCTGTTGAACAGAATACCCGCATGGGAAAACTGAGCGAGTGTAGATTTTTTAGGGACTATAGTACCCTGTCTGCATTCTTCAAAGAAACTGCCTGGTTGAACTCTAGGAAATAGCTCAGAAAACGTTCGTAACCCATTTGAAGGAGCTTCAGAGCCGAGGGTCCAGTCTCAAAGCCACATGATTTTGTAAGGTTGAATGCGAAATCGTACCCAGTTTTTACCGATGTGGTTTGTTCGCAAAGTTTTTTCAGGTCAATAACTTGCATTGCAAATGTGACGCAGTGTAACGATTGCGTACGGCTGTCTCTTGAGGATGACTTGCCAGCAGGGAATATCAGGAAGATTCATCATGAACGATAAACTTCGTTAAAAGCTTCTCAATAGGGTGTAAAAGCATTTTCGATGCCTTGTTCAGCTCCGCCATCCGCCAACCCTCGAGTGTGGACTACGAAGGCAATTAGCGCCCCCCCCAATCATCTTCGCCATTACCACGGCAACCATCACTCCAATTGTCTTTGCCATTACCACCTCAACTGTCACCCCAATTATCTTTGCCATTATCCCCGCAATTATCGTCATGCATCCTCTCATTTCACGCATCCGGCCTTCATCCGGTCTGTGTTTGACCAGTTGCGTGAACTTCACTTGTCCCATATAACCAGTATACTGTATTCTGTATCGCATTGACGACCTGAAACCCTTCCTTGTTGGTCTCGGACCGAATTGTTATTCCTTTGAAACTGCGTTGAGTGGAAACGCTACCATTGAGGTTTGTATTATTATTGCTTCTTAATTGTTCGTTAACAGTACCGTCATCTTGTCCAGTGTTCTTGTTCTTTGACTGGCTGGATACGCGTTGGCTCAAGGCCATTCAAAGCAAATTGTCGCTTACATAGGGTACTTCCGGAATGGAACAAGTGGCTGTGCCTGACGGGCATAAACATAAAGTATATACGTATCGGAGCCCACCCAATTTTCTCACAACTAAGGGTGCAACCATCCTTTCTGTTTCTGTTGCCTCAGTTTGTGGATTACCCCACATTCTCACCTCAGATAGGGAGTTGGAGAAGTCGAAATTTACGCTAGGTACCAACCATGGAACTGACTGACATTTTAACCAGGCTCTTTCATCACTTTCTATAGATGAACAAGTTCCGCCAATATGGAACCGATCAGCCACAGTTTAGGAGGCAGCCGTATCGGGTCTGCCAGTTGTCATCCAACTGTGAAGTCTTAGATGCATCTAATGTCAAAAATGCGATCATCCTGAACGCATAAATAGGCTACCTGGAAATTCATAGTCACCGAACCCTAGCAGTACTCTTTCCGTCAGTATCCCTCATGCACAGTCAGCCTGCTCATTACAAGTGGTAGATGGAATGGGATGGGAGTTGACTTACTCCACCTAGACATTGAAAACAAACGTGTCTAATCAGTTGTATTATTGCACTTCATATTCCCCATGGTTAGGACATTGACAATACCATACTGTGCTTAGTTAGCAAGTTTCACCTTGAACGGCGGTTGGAAGTCAAGGTCCGGGAAACCTCTTTTACTCCACTCATATTGTGTGTGACATGTCACATTGTCCGGTGATGGGGTTCCACCTGTTCTTAGTTCACATGAATGACTTAACACGAGTTATCAACTCAAATTTTCCGCACTTCGTTGACGATCTGGAGGTATTACTACTACTTACGAGTAATACAAAATAAATGACCTCTCCTAGTCTCAAATTCTATAGATATAGCGTCTAGTGAGAGGACGTCATCACCTCGCAGGCTAGCCACTGTCAGTGACAGTGGAAGATAGGTGGTGCTATATCCCAGTTATTTTTCAAATTATGTAGCCCAGCCAACTTCCACCATGGCTCAGTGGCTTAAGCTGCTGGTTAGTTGGCATTTGCCTCTAGCCGTCATGGGTTCGATCCCCAGTAGGGGATCGCGGGAATGCGCGTTACTGACGAGTCCCAATAAGGCGAAAGGTGTCTGGTGATTTTCCAGACTAGGCTGTGCTATGTAGCTTGTGAACTACCGGGATATATAGTTAAAAAAGACATAAAGATATGTTAATTAGGAAAAAATCGAACGGCGAGGCACTCCAACACGGCTTTGATGAAGTTTAGCATTAGTGAGTCCAGAACAAATTGGCAAATAATGTAGACAAGTGCACCGTTATTCAGGTACGCCCTCAACAGATTTGCATCTGTAGGTTTGAGGAGCACAACTCACAGACCACTTTCCACGAACGTGAAAACGGCGTTATTATGTTGGACTATTACAACGTTGTATATGTATGTGATTGGGCTTCAACAAGGTGTGATTTGCAATTGGATGTCTTGTGGAGCTTACTAGACCATGTTCGTTCTTCCATCTACGCGTTGCTTACTTCTTACAATAGCGCAAAGATCGAACGGTGTAGTTAGGACTTGCAACCGTTTGAAAAGGGCGGTTTCGTTGTACCAGAAACCTAGCAAAACCTGACAAGAATGGCTGAAGTACTTGTCACACTGCATGCTATTAAAGAACATTTGACAATCCTCGGAAATTTTAGTGGGTGCTATGATGGTTACATAATAGCCTCGATTTTGTGTATTAGCTATTGTGCGAATACTAAATACTGAAATTAGAGAGCGAGAAGGTATAAATCTGTGTTGTCCCATTGTAGGTGGATCGGGCACATGCGCGGACGTACGTCGCTGACCCTGCGCGGTGGCAACGTATTGCACATGTACTACATCTTATCCGGGTGCACTACGCACCTTATATTTGTAGTCCGCAAAGTAGGCGTCGAGCAATCTCTTTAATTCCGACACCCATTTCGCCCCGACTATTGTCTCCGGCAATTTGTTCCAATATTTCACCACTCGACGCTCGAAGCATAGTGGTTGAGCGATGTGTTTTAAATCCGGTACCACTAGTTTGGACCCGTGTCCGCGTGTGCTGCTTAATGCGCTAACGCGCGTCAGCAGCTTCAACATTGGAAAGTGACCCAGACGCAGTGTCCGGTGCATCGTAATGAGATCAACTCGAAGCCGACGATATGACAGGATATAAAGCCCTAGTCTCCTACATCGGTCCTCGTACGACATACCCCATAAACTGGTGACGAGCCGGCTAACTACATGCTGGACCCGTTCCAGGCTCTGCATCTCACCTATTGTGATAGGACAATAGACAGGCTAGGCGTACTCAAGCACCGGTCTTATCATGGAAGAGAACAGACGGGTAGCAATCGCTTCCGACCAAGTGCAGAATCTGTGTCTAAGTGCCCAAAGCAGGCGTAGTCCGTTTGCGTACACTCAGTTCGTATTGTCGACAGAGTTCAGATCACTGCGTGAAGCTACATCTAGATCCTTTACTGAGCTTGTTGCATACAGCGGTTGGTCGACTAGAACGTACATACGCCCAGTACTATCCTTCCCCAGACTCGTAAATGACGAGTTAACCAGGTTAACCGGCAGATAAACTGCTGCAGACCACAGGAACAGACGACTAAGGCCTTGCTGAAGGAAGTCACAGTTGTTGGGAGAAGCAATAGCCGTCCAAATCTGCAAGCCGTCTGCAAACAATACACACGGCGACCGAAGCAGCTGAGGTATTTTTCTTATGTGGCCCAGAAACAACATGGCCTCAGTACTGTGCCTCTAGTGGACGGGTACTATTCCATTATATGGTCAGCCACCTGTACCTGATACCTTCTCCCACTAAAGAACTCATTAACCCACTGGTGTTGTGCTCCACCAAAACCACACATCCTCAACTTGTGGAAGAGGACGTGGTTCGCTATATCAAAAGCTTTACTGCAATCGACGTAGATAACATCTACTGAGTTCATCCGGTTCCACACCTGCAACCATCCGTGTCACGTCAACAGCAGGTTGGTGATGCACGAGCGGCCCTTCATGAAACCGTGCTGCAGGAGCGTTAGGTCTTTCTACTCCAACAGCTGGAGAAGACCATCTTTCACAACCTTCTCGAGCACTTTCGTCAAAACAGAGGTCAGACGAATCGGTCTATAAGTGTCCTCCTTAGTCGCGTCACCGCGTTACGGAATCGGCTTCACTACCGAGCGTTTCCGGTCGCTCGGAAACACACCATTAGATAACGATCTGTTGAGCATATCAGTCAGAGCACGCAAAATACTGGCCGATAGTGACTTTAGTATTAGCGGATGGAGACCGTCGGGTTCGGCAGGCTTCGTGACATCAAGACTGGCGAGTAGACTGCGGACACCTTTCACACCGCAATCTAGGCGGTCGAGTTCCGTCGAGTTCGGCCAACGCACATGCCCACCAGTAAATACGGAAGCGAAATGCTCCGCCAATACGGACGCACCTTAGGTGTTGGAACTCAGAGCCTGCCCATCGGAGCCCTCTAACATTGCTAGGTTGTTAAGATATCCCAGGGGTAGATAAATATCAGCGAACCAACTCCTTTTCACTGATTCATTAGCAGGCGAATACATCACATATAAAAATGACATAGGCGCAAACAACAAATGGTACCGGTTCTAACGCCTAGATGGTCTGAGTGACCAAGATAACTGATTTGTCCCAAAGTGTTAAGGGGTGTGTGTGTATGTGGGGTGTCTCCGCACCAGATAAATGGTCATCCGCTGAAACACTACCACAACACCCACCGAAGGAGTAACCGCTCAAAACTGACAGAGATGTCTAGAGTGGTTTTAAGTAATTTTCCACGGGTCTGCAGACCTCAAGGTGCTTAACGAAACTTATTTGTCTCCAAAACTCCAAAAGCGGTTAGATTCTGCTCTAGCATCCCTACACATTGATCCAGCAGCCACGAAAGCAGAGTGTAAACTGTTGACATTTCTTAATTGGGCATCTAAATTTAATAGTTGTAGTGCGCAAATCATGAACTGCGTGTGTTTTTATTTTTTTCCACAAGTGGAGCTAAGCATAATGAACCTCTACGGATTTTTCATGCCTTTGTTCTTTTCCAGCCCCGTCCTCCACTGTACACATTACACGTACGATGTCTTACTTGTAATGGATAATTATACTATTGTTTAGCTGCTACTAGATTCATTTTATGAACGCACAGTCATCGCGCATGACTCGTCTGGTGTTCGTTTTCATGCCATTGCTAAATCACTCGTTTACTGTTCCATTTTACACAATGTGAGATGGAACGCTACTCAACAGTGGCCGGGTAAATAAGCGAGTTATTGTCAAAAGACAGTTGGCACGGTGGGATCGTGTACTCGTTGCTCTTAGCATAGGAAGTGTCTTTATAGGCCTTTTGAGTGCTGTGGGCCTTTAGTAAAATAAGGAAATCAAATTTAAACCGCTCCTCTCGCAGCCACTGTCGTGAAAAACAGCAAATCCAACAAACCTTAAACGACCAAGCCGTAATGAAGTTATTCAAACTAGGAAGTCGTCCCAAACTGAAATCACACACGTGTCAGTCGACTTACTGACTTCTGTCGAAGACTTTCTTTCTCAAATGAGAAATCGCCGTTGATGTGGAAGTAAGAATATCCGATGTCGGTGGCTGAATTAACAGAGGATGCGGTTAGCGATTTATATGTGCTCATTGAATCGACCACTTCCGATGTGAGATCCACCTGTGATGATTTGGTGAATTCTGCGTGGGAAAGAGAAAGCGGCGAAGTTTCGCAGACATAGATGGTGACACGTGGTTTCACACGCAATTATCAATCAGGCGAAAGCTGGTTTTCAGCTGCAATAAAGTACGTCTAATTGTGAAACCCATGACGAATCCTTGTTACCAAAGTACCATAAACTAACTGTTCACCTACTCCGATGTTGTAGACGTACCGCCTATGTCAAGCCGTCAATTTTGGCTCTTCACCAGAAACTCCAGGGGAATTTCCAAGTTCTATAATATCTGACTGATTATAGTAAAAATGATATGCATCTTAGGGAAATTGTTGCAATGAGGCATTTCCAGTCACTCACAAAGCGCCGTTAGACTTGGACGGATGCGATACGATTCATTCGACGTCTTAGTTTCTCATGGCTAGCTTTTATTCTATATACAGTTGTAGGAAACTTTATCCAAGCTCATGTTCTGCGTGTGCCCTTCGCTGCTACCGTTAAGATTTTTGGGGATGGGGTATTTTTGGCAGCAGCGAGAAATATTCACAAATGTACATTGTAAAGTTTAGAGAAGGACACTGCAACCTACCCACAGTCATTCCATCAGGCACGAGGAATCGACCATCAACGGAACGTAGACATTTAGAGTACGCATCTGTCGTGACTGTCGGTCCGCGCTCTTCGTTGACCAAATTGTCCCAACCGGTTCCTGGAACCACGTTCAGCCAACGCCACCCATCGGTTCTGTCGCAAAGTACCGGACTAGGAGGATTTGTTGTTGATCCTGCAGACGCAACTAGTGCTTCGTTACGCACAGAAAGACCACGTAGCGTCGCAATCTGAATGCTAATACAATGGGGTGAAGGAGATCAAGAAACATAGTTGTTTAAATCTCGTCGATAATTTGACAAAAAACGAACGGTAACTATCGCGTGTGCCACATATCCTTAACTTCAGCCTGTGATAAGCTCGCCCCAAGACAACGGCTAGGTGCAAGTGCTGGCTGGTTCAGCAATGTTACGCACTAATAATTGTTGGCTCAAATAGAAGAATAATTACTAACATGAATCATAACCAATGCGGAAGTCAGACGGCGAAGCCGTTCAAGATCCTCTGTCAGACTGCAAGGATGGATAATATTTGTGACGCTTCAAGAACAATCCTAACTAAGCAATACTGTGTAACAGTGTGCTTCGGCCCACACACCATCCGACAGAGCTCATACCGTACTGCGCTCAGGCATGTTCACATGCCTAGATAATATGTGCAGACGAAATATTGTCCTTCAGTTCTACTTGTCTTTTATCCTCTCCCATTTTCAACTTCCGAAATGGACTCCCACTTGACATTCGCTTTGGGATGGTGTGATGAGGGCTGAAAATCCTGGTGACTGGAAATGCTGTGGTACCAATAGGCAGGTGATCAATCGCAAGCCATCGGGAATCTCGCGCAGTACCAGACAGGTGCAGTCCAGCCCGATAGAGCGTGATCATGTCGTCGGGAGCAGATTGGTCAGCGAAACGGCAAATGGTTGACGCACATCCGCGTCGAGTTCTGCAAGCGAAGCCAGCAATCCTCCACTGAATGTGCAAGTGACCAATCAGGCGTCAGCAGGTTCCAAAAGCACAGGCGAAGAAGCGCATAGTCGTGAGGAGCTTATTGGTGCGCATTTGAGCCAAGGTTTGTGGGACTCGATTGAGGGAAGGAGCACGCGACCAGATGGACGAGTGCCCAATCGAGCCAATTATACAGTTCACCAAGAAAGACAAGGTAATTTTAGACAGAATGGACGTGGCGAGCAAGCGTAAATCTATAGAAAGGGAGTCAGCGACAGAATGCAACTAACGGACGAGCCAGTGGAGCGGACTGTTGCAACTAGTGTATATATACACATATGCGAGCTTAATCTTAATAAGCGATTTCATGAGCGCGATCCAGTCTTCTTGCTTCTCGGAGGGCAACACGACATGGCGACAGAGGAGAAGTCGACGCGCCGGAACCCACTACTTTTTGGTGGACATCCATCGATCACGCTGCCGACCGCTCTGCAGATGACTGAAAGTAAGCTGACAGAGGACTGGAGAACTTGGAAGGCGAAGTGGATGGATTTCGTCACGCTGACCCAATTGGATATTCAACCGATGGCGTACCAGTTGGCGATGTTCAGGCACACTGTGGGTGATGAAGCCAGGAGGGTGCTCGAGACACTGGAGCTGAGCGAGGCAGGTGAGAAAGTCGAGCTTTCGGAAGTGCTGAGAAGATTCGGGGCGTTTTGCGAAGGACACAAATGCAACCTATCAAAAGTATTTATTTTTTGGTAGCAATCGATCCCCAAGCAAACCGTTCGATAGTTACATTCCAGAGCTGAAACTGTTGGTGCGTAACTGCAACTTCTGCTATTGCATGATAGTGTCCTTGATACGTGATCGCATTGTCATCGGCATAAAGAATGACGAGTTCACTGGGCACTTTCTGAACCCAATGAACCTGTCTTTAGAATGATGTATGGATATCTGCCTGAGTGAAGCAAGGACGGCACAACAGTTCGAGCAAGTAAGAGCAGAAGCAAACACTGGGCTAGGCGCGGTCTCCGGAACCAGCAATAGTCCACCCCAGCCACTCGAAGGACAGAGTCCGAGTTGTCAATTATACGGTCGTACACATTCAAAAAGAAAGGAGAGTTGCCCGACAGCGTTGAACGTGTACGAAATGTTCCAAGAAGAACCACTGTGCTCGCTGTTGCAGATCCGCCAAGGTCAGCTCAGCGGTTGAGAGCGTCAGCGAACAGGTATAGGAAGTTTAGATAAACAACTTGGAAAATCGTGGAGAACATAAGTGTGTTTTCGCGATGCTTTTGATATAAGGACGACCGGTGCACTTCCAACGACTCAGGGGCTACTGTCAATATCTTACCTGAGAAGCACTGTCTGGGAGTGACGTGACAGAACGCAGAATTACCTCAGAATGTGGAACGGTTCAAAGCTGCAACCGAAAGGTGTCGCCACGGCCCGTAACCTGTTGGTAACGAGCTTGTAGCGTAACCTTGCGTCGCGAGTTCGAATCTGCGTAGGAGTGGGCATCCTCGCGGTATACGCAGCTCGCGTGCAAATAGTGGTGGTCGCACAGCCCAGAAGCGCCGTTACGGGGTATACCTGACACATTATCATTATGGCTGGCTTTCCGAACAACCTGGCTGGCTTGCCGAACAACCTCCACGAGGTGCCAGCTAGGTGGTTCGGGATTTTCCCGTTCCAGCGAATGCCTCGGCGGCAGTGTTCCAGGACCTGGTAGGTTTTCGCCTGGCAAGCGTTCTCCCTATAAAAAGCCACCTATGTCCGTTTAACAACACTGCGTGGTGGCGCACGTGACTCACCACTAAATAAAGTCACTGCCCCTTGCTTCACTCCAGTGGAGCATTGTATTCCAGCTGCCAGATGCTGTCATCGTGGGGAGGATTGGGCCCCTGTTTGGTACTTGACCAAACGAAAGGCGTATGAACCGAGTCATCAGTCTCCGGCTCCTAATGGGCACGATACCCTGAATTCGCCCCTTTGCCTTGCGGGTAGGCTATTGATTCAAGCGCTCAGAGTAGCGACCCGTTAAGACAACCCCTACTTCAGCTTAGGCAACCGGGTAATATCACGTCTATTGATGAACTATGGAACAGAACTACACTCTTCGTTCTACTGATGCTTTACTCTCAGTGTACTACTGCAAGCACTCTTGCAGCACACGCCACTCGCTTACCTACTCTTCTGTATCATTTTTCCTCGTTTTCGTCTGATCAATGAATGATGAGCAGCATTACTTCCTCCGATATCATTGTTGCCTCTCCATCCTCTGACATAATCACACAGCGCCAAACCAGGTTTGAACAGTCCCGGATTCTCACCTCTGTGTTTCTGCAACCGAAGACACAGTTCAACTTGGCGACGTTAAATGTGCGCACCTTAAAACAGATTGAGCAAAAAGCCGGGTTCGCGCGCACTCTAGAAACATTTGCAATCGATGGTTCTTGTTTGTGCGAAACATGACTTCAGGATTCCAGCACAGTCAATCCTTTATCGTCACTAATTCACCCTTATACTCGTTTTCACCTTCAATTTTCTGGAGGCGCCCAGGCTATCACTTCTGGGAAAGCTGGTGTTGGGATTACCCTTAGTGCCAGAGCCGAAGCTGCCCTTCTCGAATGGATTCCGATCAACAGTCGCCTTTGTGATGTCAGGCTCCACGGTTCGTGCAAGGTAAACAGGCGTCGAGAATATAAAGGTGCTCTTTTTGTACTCACCGCCTATGCTGCTACTGGCTGTAGCCCAGATACCGTCAAGGACCAATTCAATCAGAAACTTCATGATTTGTTCTTAAGGACCCCCAATACGGACATCATTAATATGGCGGGGGATTTCTGCACGCGTGTTAATCGTTTGTTACCAAACGAATGCCATCTTGGAGGCTCGCATGGATACGACAACTTTTGTTCAGACAATGGTAAAGGACTACTCAGTTTGTGTTCCATCCACCAACTTTACCTCTCCAATAAGAACTTTCGCCACCCTAGAAGTCACTACACTACCTGGCACGCTCCATCATCTCCACGTTGGTCACCGATTGACCACATCGCCATAAGTCATCGCTGGCGTGGCAGTATTCGGGACTGCAGATCCCATTGGTCAACATGCGTGGAAACTGACCAGGCGCTAGTGTGTGCGTCGGTTTGCATGCGTTTCGGCGGCTCGCCTAGAACCAGACAAACTCGAATTAACTCTGGTAAACTGGAGAACCCCGCCGTACAATTGGAATATCAAAAGCAGCTTCATGAGAACCTCACTTTTCCACCTTCCCGGGACGTTGCTCAGCATTGGTGGCGATTGTAACAGATTATGTTTTCAGCGGGTTTATCCATTTGTGGTCTTGTTCGTTGCACAACTAAAAGTTGGATCATGGTCACCTCCGCAATACTTCTTGACTATCGGCGAGCTATACTCGTCGGTGTAGAGCACAGTGAACTCCGCCGTTCTATTTCCAGACAACTAAAAGTGAGTCTTCGCCGTGACCGTGAATCCTGATGGTCTAAACAGGCCAAGGAAATGGAAGTTGCTGTCTCTGCTGGTAATAGTCGCAGGTTGTTTTATCTCATCAGATTCACCGGACGCAAAGTTCAGGCCATCAGTCAGACCATCTGTGAGTCAGACGGTACAAAGATCACCAACCTACGCAGACGCATGGATCGCTGGGCAGAGCACTTTGCCCTACCGTTTAATTGCCCAACACAACCTCCGGTTACACATCCACTGTCATCAAGTGATCCTTGGTCAGTCTGCATAGATCCACCCACTGAAGCAGAAATACGGAGAGAAATCCAGACTCTGAAACGTCACAAAGCTCCTGCCCTTGACAGTCATCCTCCGGCCTTATTCAAAGATGGGGGAACTTAGTTGTCACCGAAGTTCTATCACTGTTCACAAAGGTATGGAGCGCTGAGAAGGTCCCTAACTCATGGGGAGAATCTGTTGTGGTTCCGATCCACAAGAGGGGCTCTCATAGTGAATGCACCAACTACCGATGAATCTCCCTTATCACTGACGCGTCCAAGCTTTTTGTGTCCATTCTGCTGCGTAGACTCTCAGTTACCCGCGAGAGTTCGTGTCGTGAGGAACAGGCTGACTTTCGTTCTGGCCGTGGTTGCATCGACCAAATTTCCACTTTGCGTCCAATTCTCGAACATCGTCATGCCCACAGAAGGCCAACAATGGTGGTGGTTTTGGATATCCGAGCCGCTTTTGATTCAGTAGATAAGTCGTCACTGTGGAACTGTCTGCTACGGAACGGCATTCCAGACAACTTTATCATACTCTTGAAAGAGCTGTATAGCCACTCCTCTGACAAAGTTAGAACTTATAGAAGGCTTTCTTCTTCTTTTCCCGTTACCAGTGGAGTGCACCAAGATTGTTCGACCTCACCGTTCCTGTTCAACTTTGATATCGAAGATGTTCGACATCGCGCACTGAAAGCAGTCCAGAGCTGCGGCGTTGAGTTTCTACCCGGGAGCAGAGTAGAGGACCTGAACTATGCTGTTGACATCGTTTTGCTGGAGGACGACCCGCAGGTTGTTCAAGACATCCCGAACCGCTTAGCGATAGAGGCATCTAACTACGGTCTGGATTTTGCTCCATCCAAGTGTAAAGCTTTGCTCCAGGATTGGCAGGCTCCTGTGCCTACCCTCACCATTTCGGGTGTCAGCCTGGAGCTCGTTAACAGCTACTTACCTCGGGAGTTGCATTACTGCTGGTGGCGGTATTGGAGATGAAATTTCACAACGAATTGCCAAAGCTTGCCTTTATTTACTAACCTGAGACCCTCGTGGCGTCGTCGCGATGTCACCCTCAAGCTCAAAGGCCGAGTGCATAATGTCACAGTGGATGCTGTCCTGCTGTGCAGCTGCGAGACCTGGCCTGTTCCATCGGAAAAT